CTTTTGGCCCCAGTGAGGTGACCAAACCTTGTTAGCATAGAGGGTTACTTGAAGGGCTTTTTTTCAGTCGGAACGTGGCAGAACGCCGTTCCGCCACCTCTGGCAGCCCTGTCCTCTTCAACCTGTAACTAATCATAGAAGGAAAGTTTTCACACTACTCAGTTCCTCTACTGGCTTCTGTGTTCTATTGCCGGGCACTCAAGGATTGTGTAGAGCAGGGCATATGCCATTGTGTGCCCTGGGTCCCCAAGTCGCAACCTCCAAACCTCTCCTCTGGTGTGTCGAGAGGCGGCTCCTGTCCCACACTGCATGTCAGACCTGTGTAGCTCAGAGCCAAGTACAGGTGAAACTCGAAAAATTAGAATATCGTGCAAAAGTTCATTTATTTCAGTAATGCAACTTAAAAGGTGAAACTAATATATGAGATAGACTCGTTACATGCAAAGCAAGATAGTTCAAGCTGTGATTTGTCATAATTGTGATGATTATGGCTTATAGCTCATGAAAACCCCAAAATCCACAATCTCAGAAAATTAGAATATTACATGCAATCAATAAAACAAGGATTGTACATAGAACAATATCGGACCTCTGAAAAGTATAAGCATGCATATATACTCGGTACTTGGTTTGGGCCCCTTTTGCAGCAATTACTACCTCAATGAGGTGTGGCATGGAAGCTATCAGCCTGTGGCACTGCTGAGGTGTTATGGAAGACCAGGATGCTTCAATAGCGGCCTTCAGCTCTTCTGCATTGCTCGGTCTCATGTCTCTCATCTTTTTCTTGGCAATGCCCCATAGATTCTCTATGGGGTTCAGGTCAGGCGAGTTTGCTGGCCAATCAAGCACAGTAATCCCACGGTCATTGAACCAGGTTTTGGTGCTTTTGGCAGTGTGGGCAGGTGCCAAGTCCTGCTGGAAAATGAAGTCAGCATCCCCATAAAGCTTGTCTGCGGAAGGAAGCATGAAGTGCTTCAAAATCTCCTGGTAGATGGCTGCGTTGACCTTGGACTTAATGAAGCACAGTGGACCAACACCAGCAGATGACATGGCTCCCCAAATGAAACACAGACTGTGGAAACTTCACACTGGACTTCAAGCATCTTTGCAGTGTGTGCCTCTCCATTCTTCCTCCATACTCTGGGTCCTTGGTTTCCAAATGAGATGCAAAAGTTGCTGTCATCAGAAAAGAAGACTTTGAACCACTGAGCAACAGACCAGGTCTGATTTTCTTGAGCCCAGGTAAGATGCTTCTGGCGTTGTTTGTTCAGGAGTGGCTTGACAAGAGGAATACGACATTTGAAGCCCATGTCCAGGATCCGTCTGTGTGTGGTGGCTCTTGATGCACTGACTCCAGCCTCAGTCCACTCCTTGTGAAAGTCCCCAACACTTTTGAAGGGCCTTTTCCTGACAATCCTCTCCAGGCTGCGGTCATCCTGCTGCTTGTGCAAATTTTTCTTCCACACATTTCCCTTCCACATAACTTTCTATTAATGTGCTTTGATACAGCACTTTGGGAACATCCAACTTCTTTTGCAATTACCTTTTGAGGCTTTCCCTCCTTATGGAGGTTGTCAATGATGGTTTTCTGCACAACTGTCAGGTCAGCAGTCTTTCCCATGATTGTGATTCCTACTGAACCAGACTGAGAGACCATTGAAAGGCTCAGGAACCCTTTGCAGGTGTTATGGCTTAATTAGCTGATTAGAGTGGGACACTTTGAGCCGAGAATATTGCACCTTTTCACAATATTCTAATTTTCTGAGATTGTGGATTTGGGGTTTTCATGAGCTGTAAGCCATAATCATCACAATTATGACAAATCACGGCTTGAACTATCTTGCTTTGCATGTAATGAGTCTATCTCATATATTAGTTTCACCTTTTAAGTTGCATTACTGAAATAAATGAACTTTTGCACAATATTCTAATTTTTCGAGTTTCACCTAGTGGTCTAAAACTCCTCCTCGGCTCTATGCTACACAGGTCTGATAGACTGCTTGAGAAAAAAAAATCCTGCACACTCCTAACAGACCATTGACAGCTGTAACGCTATGAAGCTTTTGAGAGAAGGGGAGTGAAAGCTGTGAAGGGAGAGTTTGGGGGGTGAGTGGTTGTGCAGAGAGGCATCAGTGGGGAGGTGACAGCTGTGAACTGCAGTGGGGGTTAATTTGTGAAAAGTGGCGAGAGCTGGAAAGGGAGGGCAGGTTGTGCAAAGTGAGAGTTGTGTAGTGGGGGGGGGGGCAGGTTGTACACAGGCAAGAGCTGGGAAGGGGGGCATTGGCAGGTTGCCTAGAGGTGGCAGCGGGTGAAGAGGTGAAAGTTGTAGAGTTGAAGTGATGAGAGCTGTGGATTTGGGTAATCTGTAAATAGGGGTGCAGGAGTGAAATGTAAAAGGGGGCAGAGACAAGTTGTTGTTGTGGACTGGGAGTGTAAGCTGTGGGTGAGGAGTGGTGGTGGTACAGAGTTTGAGTTGTTGACAGAGGGCACAAAAGTGAGTTGTGAGGGTGTGCTAAGGTGAGCTGTGTACAGGAGTGAAGAGTTGAGCTCTGGGCAGGGGTACAGAGGTGAGCAGGGGGAAGAAGAGGTGAGTTTTGGATGGGGGGAAAAAGAGGTGAGCTGCGGATGGGGGGGGGGGGGGATGCGGTGAGCTGTGGTTGTAGGGAAGAAGAGGTGAGCTGCAGACAGGGGGAAGAAGAGATGAATTGTGGGTGAGGGGAAGAAGAGGTGAGCTGCAGAGGGAGGTGGAGGATAGGGGAGAAGAGGTGAGCTGTGGATGGGGGGAAGGTGAGTTGGGGTGAAGCAGGGGTACCTTGGTGAGCTGCAGACAGGGAGAAGTAGAGGTGAGCTGCAGACGGGGGGAAGAAGAGGTAAGCTGCGAACATGATGAAGAAGAGAAGAACTGTGGATGGGAGGCATAGGTGAGCTGTGGACAAGGGTTGAAGAGGTGAGCTGTGAATGGGGGGTTGCAGAAGTGAGCAATAGATGATTACATTGGGGAGATATATAAGTACTCTGCCTTGTACTAATGTTTTTCTGTGCCCTGTGTGATATGCGCTGCACAGTACACTCTCCTGAGCCCTGAGTGTTATGTGCTCCTGAGTGCAGTGCTCTGTGCAGCTTGTGCCTTGAGCATAGTGCAGATTTGGTGCCTACACCTATTATCTGAGAAAAAAGGCCCTGGTTGCTTGTAATCCATTGGGCGGAAGGCAGGCTTATGCACTCTATATTTTGTGCTGGACATTTTATACTCAAGACCACTGTACTGTTTATGCTATGTTGTAAGTTACTTTGCATGCACTTTGCAAGCTGTGATGAATTACAAATTCTTGGTCAAAGTGTTTTGCAATCCACACATGGGTCAAACTTCGAATGATTTTCTGTCCGAAAATTGAAAACGTTGTTTGCTCAGTAATCCGATGGTGCCATCAATGATTTCAAAAATCAGCTGACCAAGTCATTAAGTTCACCCCATATAAGAGGTGAAACGTCTGTTCCTTCCAGGTCATGGCTCATGCGCATATTCTTTTTGGAACAACCATCATACGATTTCACCATCATTGAGTTGAAAATCTGTAATTTTTCAACATGCCCAATCACCGAAAAGGGGAGGAACCACGAAAATCGGCCGGCGCTATTGACCCACTAACAAAGTGAAAATTCCAATTAGGTCCGATTTTCAGACAAAAAATCAGTTGCATTTCGACCCATGTATGGCCGGCATTTGTCTGTTTTTGCTGCCTCTAAGTAGTCCCTATCTATTTAAATAATGATCTTCTTTATAGGCAAGCTTAGGCAAATTGGTTATATTTCCATAATCTGCACACAATGAAGGAAATGCAATGGAAAAGTTTAATTTTTGTTAGAAATGGTCTGAGGATCATGTATGTGTGTTCTGTCCCACTTGTTTTATGTTTTGTATTGAACTGCATGAGGTTATCATTTTTCTATAGTATGCATCTAGTGGCAGTTTTGGACAACTGCAACTTGTTTACTAATGTGATTTTGGTATCTTCTGTCCTCCCTTCCTGTTTAGTTCTACTGGAATTAGTTTAGTCCTAGACCTCCCTACTTCTTCCATTTTCCTCAGTCAGTATTAGTTATTCACAGAGACAAGGTTCAGAACGGTTGTTGTTTTCTTGTATTTCGAAAGGATAAAAAAACATGGTATGTACTGCAATTAGCTGAAGTTCAATTGCATTGGATTCAACTTTTGTGTCTTCTTCAAGAGTTAAAGCATTAAATACCAAAGCAAGCATTTATTATATTGCAGCTTACCAATTCTTAGATGTGATTGTTACATTAATTTTTTGGGGCTTTACTTCTACTTTTATCTGGTGATCCTGCCACGTAGGCTGTTGTTTTTCAAAAGCTCAAGCTCTCCAGCAGAATGTATCAGTTTTCATGGATGAGACAAACCATTTAACACTGACAGGGATGGTTACAATGCTCATCTTTAATTTATTCATGTACAACCTTTATCCCAAAAGAAAAAAACATTGCTTTTACTGATTATAAAGTGAGAGCTGAAGTTTGACTTCAATTAGTGTATTTAAATCTGCTAATACATTTAACACTACCCTTCCATCAGACTGACAATGCTGCTGTCTGCTGTGCCTCCTTTGCTTATTCATCCAGAGTGGTGTTTCACTAATACAGGAGGTGTGTTACTGGCTACGTCACCAGCTGAAAGGAGAGAGAAAAAGATAAAAAAAAGAAAACTGATGCAGTTACTACATCTAATGATTGGTAAGCTGAAATATATAACATTTTTGGTTTTGGGTTTAATACCACTTTAACCACCTACCACCCGCCATATAAGGTCATGACAGGCGGGCGGCGGTTCTCTTGTTCTGGGAGGACATCATATAATGTCCTCCCACTCTAACTGTGCATGCGATCCCTCGGGGTTGCATGGCGCGGCGCGCGCAGCGCAGCGACCGGTGGTAAAGTAAAGAGATGATGACGTTGGGTCTGTCATGTGATCAGCTGTGTCCAATCACAGCTGATCACATGTAAATAGGAAATGCCGGTTAGCGGTAGTCCTCTCCTCCCCTGACAGCTCGTAAAGAGAGGATTGTTGGTAATCAGCATTCCTCAGAGGGGACATCTACACTGATCATCGGGGCACTGAAGATCAGTGCCCCGATGATCAGTGTAGCCCCATAAGTGCCACCTGTCAGTGCCCAGCAATACCACCTGTAAGTGCCCATCAATGCCCCATTCCAGTGCATCAGTCAATGCCACATATCAATGCCTACCAGTGCACATCAATGCCACATATCAGTGCCCATCAGAGCTGCCTTTCAGTGCCAGGCAGTGCCGCCTATCAGTGCCACCTATCAGTGCTCATCAGTGCCGCCTATCAGTGCCATATATGAGTGCTGCCTTTCAGAGCCCATCAGTGATGCCTGTCAATGCCCACAAGTGATGCCTGTTAATGCCCATCAGTGCCACCTATCAGTGCCTCCTCATCAGTGCTGCCTATCAGTGCCGCCTATTAGTGCCCATCACTGCAACCTCATTAGCGCACATCAGTGAAGGAGAAAAATTACTTATTTACAAAATTTTATAACAGAAACTAAGAAAAAACTTTTTTTTCTCAAAATTTGCTGTCTTTTTTAGTTTGTTTAGCAAAAAATTAAAACCCCAGTAGTGAATAAATACCACCAAAAGAAAGCTCTATCTGTCTCAAAACAAATGATAAAAATTTAGTTTAGGTGCAGTGTTGCATGACTGCACAATTGCCATTCAAATTGTGACAGCGCTGAGAGCTGAAAATTGGCCTAGGCAGGAAGGGGGTAAAAGTGCCCAGTAAGCAAGTGGTTAAGCTGCCTGGGACAGACGGAGTCTAAAGACATATATCAATATATAAAGCAGCATTTGAAACAGAAACTCTCTCTTGATGCATAATATTTAAGTCATATTTTATGGATGCAAAGCCTGCATTTGTGTGCACTGCAGTAGGTTGATTTAACCTTTTTAGTGTTACCATGCTATTATGGTGGGGCAAGTATTGGATATAAATGCTTTTTTATGTTTTGTTCAGGTGGCTTTGGGTTTCTTCCGTTCCCTAATCTCCAGGTAATAAATGAACCTGGATGTGCTCAGCTCCGAGCTCTTCTGGGTTCAGAAGTGTCAGATACCAGCAGCTGTGGCCAGAAAAACAGCTGACACTTTGTGCAGGGAAAGCATTAGGGGTCTAGGAGACCCTTGATGTCTCCAAAATTAAAACCCATGATTGGGAGCTTGTCAGTGCCTCTGTGAAAGTAAAAAATTCATGGAAAATAAATAAAAATATGTAAATACATTTTTAAAAATGTAAAGGACCACAGTGCACATACGCACATTTACATGCAGCTTGGAAGCAGGTGCATATGTAAACACCATTTACACAACGCATTTTAGGTATTCTCTTACACACTGAAATGAGAGGAATAATTCTAGGGCCATCATTTATTGTTAATTCAAAAATTGATGAAATGTATAGCCTGTTTAAAATGCTGCCTATGGACAATCTGGGGTATTCCAGTTTGAACAAAAAAGTCATTCCTGAATTGTATTTAATATTTATGAGATGATGTTGGGTGGGTGTTTATTGGTGTACAAGCATTAGTGCTGTATGTTTTTTAGATTTTTTATATTTCGGAGAAATGACAGGACATTGAGAATCATTTTTGTCTGATTTTTTTTAAGCTAGCGGCAAATATACCTTGCAGTTTTCCAACAGCTGTTCAAACTAAACTTGAAAAGCAGTTTTAACATTCTTGAAAGACAGTTGTTTAACCAGCAGCTGCATGAAACTCACACTACCAATATTCTTTTTTCCTGTTTTATTAGAAAGTTGCTACTCATAGAGATTTTCATAAAGTAGTTCCTATGACCATAAACTGTAATAATTCTGTTTTCTTTCATTAATCACAGTATCTTCATGAGTGTATGCTAGTATGCTTAGTTCATCCAGCAGAGGGTGATACAATTCAGCATATGGATTGGGTTTCCTCTGGAATTTCCCTATTATAAGAAAACCCCCTAAAAGAAACACACAGGCTGCCATTGTGACTTCTGAAAATGCTTGTTGCAAGGCTATTATGTTGGCTGTCTTGCTTCATTGACACTGATCTAGAATAAGTATGCTGATAAGTACTCCTCTCTGACTTTCTTTATCTGCATATTAATTGTGGGTCAGTGATTCAGCAAATACTGAAACTAGTGGGCCAGTCTAACAGCCAGGTAACTCATATTTAAAAAAAAACAAAAAAAAAAAAGGTTCTTGCAGCGCCATTCATTTTGAATGACACCCCAACGCATTGTTACAGTAGCAGGCAGTGGACCTGTGCTGCAATGGGGCATAATGCACAAGCCGTGCATTGTGGTGTGTTGCGTTACAAAAAATGGCACATCCAATTTCCTCTGTGTTAAGATGTGCTGCCAGCCTATATCTGGTCTCCCACAGTACACAGAACATAGAAGTGCAATAATTTCAGTGAATATAAACTGCTAAATACCTTTTTTCTCATCAGCAGTTATAGCAGTATTGTGGCTTCTATGGGTGCCCAGCAAAGCACTGGTTAAAGCTTGTAGGAGGAGTCATCATTCTCCTATGATTATCCTATGAGCCTTCATAACCCCTTACCCTTTGTCTGGACAGTGCGGACTGGCCTCGTGCTGATCGATTGCATTTTCCCTTGAAAAAAAAAACCTCTAGCAATACACACCAAACTGAGCATGTGCAGCTTGCCCCCCAAGGCTCTGTTCTATCAGCAGATGGATTGGGAAAGTAGAAGAAGGGGAGAATCAGAGAAGACAGGATCAAACAGCATTTTCTCACAATGCAGAGGCTTAACACCCTAAGTTCCACAGTGAGTATAACAAGCATGCTTTACTACATATACAGACTGACTTTACTGTTGAGGGTATAGTAACACTTTAATGCATGTTAACGCATTGGGTTAATGCAAGTCATATTCAGAACAGGCCTGAACTAGTCACACCAGTCCTTGCCACAAAGGAGCTAATGACTGATTTTCATTTCCAGCACTGACACCGATATAAGAAAAAACATACAAACATCACCAGATAGTACCCTGGTACAGGGGCCGACTGACCATTTGGAAACTGCCCGATGACCCGTGGTCAGTAGGGGGCCCCATGAGATGCCACTGGTACCTTTTTCATAGGCTTTTTTGAGTTTGAGCAAGGACTCAGGGGCCCCATGATCCCCTATTGCCGGGGGGACCCCCTGAGTTGTCAGTCCCCCCTGCCCTGGTAGTAATCCAACCCTGGGCATCAAGGCAATAATTTTATCAATAAGTCACCATCCTGAATGTCAGGGATCGGGGTGTGACCAGAAATGTGTGGACTGACACAGGGAAGTAGCAGGCTTCAGGAACACAGGCGTAGTCAGGGCTGGAGAGGTGGAATGGTTAGGCGGTCCATAAGGTACTGTCAGGCACCGCTCGGCGGGACCTCTAGTGACCCACAGACCAGGATTCCCCAGGGCGCGGAGTCTAAGCCCCAGTCTGCCTTTTCACCAGAGCCCCTGATGGTGGGGATGGACTTGGCGCAGGACTGAGACCAGGTCGCGGCCCCTGAGTGCACCCAACTGTGGTAGAGGGTATGTACCAGGGGAAAGCCTGATGTGAAGGGGCTGGCAGGTTTGGACAGTAGTGACTGGATCCGTACGGGATGGATGGATCATCTGGGTAGTGTCAGACGTAGTCAGGCAAGCCAGGTCAGCAACGTGTGGGCAGTGAGGTACCGGAGGAGCAGGCAGAGAATAGTCAGGGTCACAAGCTGGGTTCAGTAACTCACGGGCAGCGCGGTACAGAGGATCAGGCAGAGAATGGTCAGGGTCACAAGCCGGGTTCAGTAACTCACGGGCAGCACGGTACAGCGGATCAGGTAGAAGGATGGTCAGGCAAGCAGGGGTTAAACAGGAGACGGTCAGCAGGGCCAGGAACAATGCAGAGTCAGCAACAAATCAGATAGGCAGAGTAACAGGAACACAGGATACAAGGTACAGGGGCTCATGGGAAACATACACCAAGGCACTGATCACAGGCCTGGTCATTCCTTAAATACACCTCCTGCAATCAGCCCCAGGTGTTGGCTGACTGCAGGAGTGAGCTTCTGGCTGCTGAGAGCACCCACTGGTCAGCCCTGGTACTGCAGCCCACACGGCAGGTGAGTCCCACCACTAGTGCTGAGTCCATTCCTGACACTGCCCAATACCTTAGATACATCCAAGTAATTAATTGTAAGGTTATATGAAATGTCTTTATAGTTTATTTTTACTATTACCACCCACTTAAAATCCAACTCCAGGAAAAGTAATGGCAAACAAGCTGTAAAAAAAAACAAACAAACAAACAAAAAAAACAGCATGCGGTTAAGCAGCAGGTATTGCACATACCTGGAAGTGTAGAATACTTGCAGAAGCCAGGGAGTACCAGTGTTTTAAGACAGGGGCCGTCAGTAAAGTAAGTATATATTTTCTTTTAGAAGGTACATTTAAGAACAAAAGTGACCCTGTCACTTTGAGGATAAAAGACAGACTTTTAGTAAAGAATTCCAAATATAGTAGCATAGAACAATATGGTATAAAGTCTCTGTTCACTCTATACACCAGACTTGTCAAACTGATGTAGCACAGGCCCCGTCAGGTCCCGCAGATACGTGCCAGGTTCTATAGAGGTGGGGGCTACTACTGAGTGGGGGATCAGCAGAGATGGGAGTTAATGATGAGCAGGGCATCAGCAGAGATGAGAGTTACTGATGAGCAGGGCATCAGCAGAGATGAGAGTTACTGATGAGCAGGGTATCAGCAGAGCTGAGGGTACTACTGAGTGGGATATCAGCAGAGCTGGGGGTACTACTGAGCAGGGGATCTGCTGAACAAGGGTACTAATAAGCTGGGGATCTGCTGAAGGAGGGTACCAATGAGCTAGGGATCTGCTAGACAGGGGTACTAATGAGATAGGGATCTGCTGAGTGGGGGTACTACTGAGCCAGGGGATCTGCTGAACAAGGGTACTAATATACTGAGGACCTGCAGAACAAGGCTATCAATGAGCTGGGGATCTGCCGAACAGGGGCACTAATGAGCGTGGGATCTGCTGAGTGGAGGTACTACTGAGCCAGGGGTTTACTGGTCCCCTTTAAAACAAATAGAAAATAAATACACGCACAGGGCATTTGCCAAGCTTCAATAATTCTTCAAAAAAGCATCACAGAAGCATCAAAAACACATAAAAAAGCACGTTGAAGCAGTAGGTGCTTTAATGTGTGTTAAAGCTAAATCAAGTGCAAATGAGCTCTAAGGGAGCACGCTAAACTCACATGTACTTACAATATTAGTTGTGATCTTTCACCTCAATTTATTCTCTGTAGGTTCAATGAACTGAAATGATTGCATATGCATACTACTTCAGAGCTAGTACCTTGCATAACAGACTTCCTTCAAGTGCTGAAAGACTGACAAAATTTGCAGTTTGCATTCTACTGTATTGTCAGCATTAATAGTTGTAGACACCTGC